ATTCTGGGGGGGACAAAATTCCGCTCGCGACTAATGCTGCTCGGGGCAAGCGGAGCAATACAACCAAGGCGACCCCTGTCACGCTATCCGTGAATTTTTGCAACATCAGGGGCCTTCATTCCAACCTTAACGCTGTCCATTACCATCTAGAGACGGCGAAGCCGGCCTTGCTCTTTTTAACCGAGACTCAGGTGTCCTCTCCGGCCGATACTTCATATCTCTCCTACCCGGGGTACAAATTGGAATACTCCTTTGTGCCCCGGGCTGGAGTTTGTGTATACGTCAGAGAGGGCATCTGTTTTCGACGCCTCAGCAGTCTTGAAGGTACGGACCTGTCCATCCTATGGCTGCGCGTAGACAGCGACGACCATCCCCGCATCTACGGGTGCCTCTATAGGTCCCATAGCGGTAATGCCGACACAGACCGACTCATCGACCACGTCCAAATGGCTGCACACTCCGTGCTACAACAGGTCCCATCCGCAGAGATCGTGATACTCGGTGATTTTAACGCCCACCACGCTGAATGGCTTGGTTCTCGTTTAACCGATCATGCGGGTAGATCTGTCTATGACTTTGCCTTGGCATATGGTCTAACACAACTGGTTACTTCGCCTACGCGGATCTCAGATGTGGAAGACCATGTACTTTCCCTGTTGGACCTTCTGCTGACCTCTCATCCGGACGGATATCAGGTCTCCGTCGATACCCCTCTGGGCTCCTCGGACCATTGTCTGATCCGGACGGTGCCACTCACGCTCCAATCGCAGTTGAGATCTGCAGCTTGCCGCCGTGTTTGGCACAATAGGTCAGCTGATTGGGACGGGATGCGGTCTTTTTTTGCATCCTACCCTTGGGGGCGGGTTTGCTTCTCGCCGGAAGATCCCAGCGTTGTTGCCGATTCTGTTGCTGATGTGGTACTTCAGGGTATGGAACTTTTTATTCCATCCTCTGTGGTGCCCATCGGTGGCGGATCCCAGCCATGGTTTGGTCGCTCCTGTAAAATAGCATCACGCTATAAGCAGGAGTGCTACCGAGCCTGGGCTGACGCATTAACGTCTCGGGATGTAAACACCAGCGCACTTAAAAAGAAGTATAACTCCGCCTCCAGGTCCTTCAAAAGCGTCATTGCCAAGGCAAGGTCTGAGCACATCGGCAGAATTGGCGAGAAGCTAGTTCGCCTTCCTTCGGGAACCCGTGCATTCTGGTTTCTCGCCAAGGCTGTCCAAGGGAACTTTTGTCAGCCATCTCTTCCATCTCTGCACAGAGAGGACGACTCACTGGCCCATGCCGCAAAGGAGAAAGCCGATCTGTTGAGCTGTCTTTTTGCGTCCAACTCGACTCTAGATGACGGGGGGAACACACCGCCGAAAATCCCGCGATGTGAGTGCTCCATGCCGGATGTGCGGTTTACACAGTGCTCGGTTCGCAAAGCACTCTTCTCCCTGGACGTCAGCAAGTCGAGTGGGCCCGATGGAGTCCCTCCCATTGTGCTGAAGACGTGTGCTCCGGAGTTGGCACTGGTTTTAACGCGTCTTTTCCGGTACTCTTACTCCCAAGGCGTAGTCCCGAATTCCTGGAAGACAGCTTTGATCCACCCGATCCCTAAAAAAGGCGACCGCTCAGACTCGTCCAACTACAGGCCTATTGCCATCACCTTCTTGTTCTCCAAAATAATGGAATCCATTATAAACTGCCAGCTCATGAGGTACCTTGAGGATCACCAGATGATTAGTGACCGCCAGTACGGTTTTCGTCGAGGTCGATCAGCTGGTGATCTTCTAGTCTATCTGACTCATAGATGGGCGGAGGCAGTAGATTCCAAGGGGGAGGCATTGGCCGTTAGTTTGGACATAGCGAAGGCCTTCGATCGGATCTGGCACAAAGCGCTTCTTTCGAAGCTTCCTTCCTATGGGCTTCCCGAGAAATTGTCAAATGGATCACCAGTTTCCTTGCTGATCGGAGCATCAAGATCGTAGTAGACGGTGCATGCTCTGATTTCAAGCCTATCAACGCTGGTGTTCCACAAGGCTGCGTGCTATCACCAATGCTGTTTCCCCTGCATATCAATGATATGTTGCTAACTGGTAGCATTAATTGCTATGCAGACGACAGCACTGGTGATGCCTTATATACCGGCCGTGCCAATATTTCTCGGGAAAACGTCGCTGAGTACCGGGACAAACTTGTGTCTGAAGTCGAGTCTTTGCTTAACAAAGTCTCGGATTGGGGCCGAATAAATCTAGTCCAGTTCAATCCCCAGAAGACACAAGTTTGCGCGTTTGCCACTAAAAGGAACCCCTTTGTCGTATCTCCTCAGTTTCAAGACACTCCCCTTGCTGCCTCAGCTAGTATCGGAATCCTTGGCGATGACATATCGAATAGTGTGCAGTTTCGTGGTCACTTGGAAGGGAAACAAACAAACAATAAATACAAAGCGCAAGTTCGCCCCCACATGGAATACTGTTCTCATCTCTGGGCCGGGGCACCCCAATGCCAACTCCTTGCACTTGAACGCATCCAGCGCAGAGCGGTTCGAATCATCGACGACCGAATCCTTTCTGATCGGCTCGATACACTGGCACTGCGTAGAGATGTTGCATCTCTTTGCGTATTTTATCGCATGTATCACGGGGAGTGCTCTGAGGAATTGTTCGGACTAATTCCAGTCGCTCAATTTCACCATCGCACATCGCGACGCAACTCGCGTTACCATCCATACCATCTGGATAATTGGCGGTCCACCACTGTGCGATTTAGAAGAAGTTTTCTCCCTCGTACAACATCCTTGTGGAATCAATTACTACCAGCGAATTTTCCGGACCGATACGACTTAGGAACCTTCAAGAAAAGAGCTTACACCTTTCTAAAATGCCGGAAACGCGTCTGCAATTCCCCTGGTGTTGCGGTTGTTCATGGGCGGCGATAGTCACTTACCATCAGGTGAGCCGCATGCTCGTTTGCCCCCTCTTCTATAAAAAAAACACCCTCAATCTTTACAACGTTGTTACCGAGAGACTTGTGGACGATAAATCCGACACCTCCTTGGGACAGATGGTCGCCCTACCGGTGATAGAGCAAGTTGCCGGATTCGAGGATTATCGTTTCCTCCCCCTCTTTTCGGACCTCAGATAATCCTATAATACGCCAGCGTAACTTGGCTATCTCTTCTTCCAGCTCCACGATCTTCTCGTCGGTCCTCAGGATGCGTGCGTTGTATGTTGCTAGGTCGAGTCGTCTTAGGTGGCAACTTAACCTCCACCGAAGATTCTTAGCACCCCCTGCCCCGCCGTTACCATGGTCGCCACCGTAGCCAGGAATAGCGGGGCCGCCGAGGACTGGGGGCCCTCTCTTTTTGTCGCCCTCATCATTGAGGAGTATTTGCCATAGTTGCCACGCTTGGCGAGCGAGTTGGCAACCGCAGTTTTGTTATTGTAATTTTGCTGTTATCAGGAAGATGCTGCTAGCCATCTCCTGCCTGTTTCCCTTTGTTGCCTTTTATGACACCCAAAGGAATATATGGGGTAGTAAGTATTCTTAACCGCCACTACACGGCTAACCTCATTCCTTGCAGTACTAAAATTCAAAGGTTGATTTTGAATTTTGAAAAAAGGTGGCTTTTTATGATTTCTATTTGTTCCGAAGTGTCTAAGAAAAAATACAAGGTAAGTTTTTTTCAAGCGCCGAAGAAGCCGTGGCTGCCTATGAAGAAGCGATTTCCGACCTGTCAGGTCAAGACTGGCAAACGTGTTTTCAGAGTTGGTTTAGGCGAATGGAACTGTGTATAGAGCATGATGGAGAATATTTTGAAAAGATGTAAATAAATATTAATAGTATCTAGAATACTTTTCGTATATCTCAAAACTTATTGAGTGACCTAATAATTACTGAACAATATATATCTTTGCCGGAAACAATCATACAATTCTATGTTGAAGGGAAATGTGATGTTTATAGATTTAATATAACAAATAACATTGATATCATCACCCGTGGGAAAACATGCGAAAGGGTAGACCTATAATTTGTGAGTTAATTACTTTGTTTCTTTTTTTAATGATTTAAAAGAGCGCTATCACGTAAATTATTTTATCGCACAGAGAGTTTTCGGTGCCTTTTTTACGAGGAATAAAGATATTATTTTACTAGGCAAGTCCGACGTAGTCCAAGTAGCCAACCGACGAATTGAGCTCGACTGGTAGTTCAATAAACCTCAAAAATTTTAAAACAAATGCAGATACAATCAGTTTTGAACGCATGAGAAAGCTTAACGTCGTTCTACAAGCTATGAAGTAGGCAGTGCTCGGAGTTATTTTGCGTAACTGAATCCGTATCGAAGATATCCGCAGCAGAATAAGAATTACCGACATCGTCCAAAGTGCCAGAAAATATTGCGGAATGCACCGGCCATCCGGCCATGGAGGCCTAACGACCAGGTAAAACATGCAATAAACCACCAGGCAAAACAAATAAGAAGGAAGTTTATGTATTTAGGTGCCTCAAGACCATGATAGTCTTTGAGGTAGGCCTTCGTCCAGCAGTGGGCTTGTGAAGGGTTGTAACGGAAATCCAAATACAATTAACTAAAAATATTTATTCGTCACCAGGGGCCTCGTAAAATTTATCTTGCCCACACCAAATTTAGCTATTGCCGCCCCTGGACATAGCTGCAACGCATGGCAGACTAGTTCACAACCGCAGTTTTTTTTTGAGTTGTTTTAAGACAGACGCTGCTATCCATTACCTGTTTAATTACCTTCTATCGCTTTTTACGACACGGACGGGATGATATGAGACACTGAATTCTCTTATACCACCACCACACAGTATCGTCATTTTAAAAGGTTTTTCAGTCGTTCTTTATCGGTCGTTAAGCCAATTAAAATGCAACATTGTTATTTAAAGCAATGCTTTCTAACAAGGGCCAATTAATTGATATGACTTATTTTCTTACCAAACAAGTATTGTACATGCATTCTGTTTTGTTTCCAAGTTAAACGATGGCGCTGATTATTTTATTCTATTTTACTATTTTATTTTTGGATTACAGTTACTCTAAAATTGCTTCACTGGTACCTATAATATTTAAATTTTTTTTGCATTACAGCCTTTCAAAAGTTTGTCACTGCTGAACATTGGCCTCTCTCATATTCGATACGCTTGGTAGGCGTTTTGACTGTGTAGGTAATCGCGGTGTTTTAATTATATTAAGTCGTTATCAGGAAGCTGCTATTTCCCACCCTCCGTCTCATTTACATCTGTCGCCTTTTACGGCACCCATGGGATGATATGGATATATTTATCACATTATCATTATATTACTTACTATATTATTGCATATATTATTATTATTACAGCCATTCTCAACTTCACTGCTGAACATAGGCTTCTCCCAAGGAATGCCACATAGTACGTTCCTGAGCCATCCGCATCAATCGAGTATGACTGATGTTTACATACAATAATGATATAATTTAACAAGATACCATTTCTGTTTCAGCATCCTGTGTTAGTCGCCCGTTCGTCTTTAGACTGGATGCCAAGTAGAATCAACTCACTTTACTCTGACGTGGGAGCATGGAGTGGAAAATTCGTAAGATTACTATGAATTGCAAATCAGTTTAATGCATTATTAACGCATTCAAGTAACTTGTGAATTTTTACAGAGACCAGTTATGGATGAAATCGAATCGGACGAAGCCTTAAGATTTTACCAATTTTTAAACTATTTAGACGGCGGAAGTTTTGGGACAGGTATCGTTAAATAGCATAAATATATTAATTCTCTAATATATATACATAGGATCCACGTGCGGTGAAAATCTTAATGAAATTGTATCCGTGACTGGTTATCGCTACTGGTGATAAAAAGGCTGGTTCTTTTCTCGCTCCAAGGCTAGTCCATCGAGAAAACGCAGACAAAGTTCTTGGCATGATACCACGAGGGGTAGGACTGTATGATAATATTTTTTAGTTTTAGTTAAGTATTTTATTATAGCTTTTAGAGCTCCGTAGTTAAACAACAAGGAACCCTAATGGTTTCGACATGGATTGTTCTTTCAAAAATATTGGGGGTATGTAACAACATTTTTTTCGATTCAGGGTTCCCGATTCAGGACCAACTTATAAAATGCACTCAAATGTTGCAAACGACACTCTTCTCTTATCACACTATGTCTAACCCTGTCATTCAGATTCAGTCCTAACATACTCCTTAATGGCAGCATTTCTACAGCATTTATTTTACTCTCGTGCTTCTTCTGTCACACCCAACTTTCACTGGCATACATTAAGGTAGGACATTTGTTACATTCGGATTTCCCACAAGAGTGTAGAGCCCTATTTACTCTATTTCCTGCGTTCACTCGACATTTACTTGCTCAAACAACTCCCCTTCTATTATTATTTCACACTAGCTAGTTGTTCCCCGCAACCTAGCCTGCGTGGAATTTATTACAATTAGATTTCTCTTAATATTATTTTTTTACGCGGAACCCTAATTCTTTTTCTAAAATAAAAGCAGCCTAAGATACACCTTATAACATTAACTATATGCCAGTGAAAGTCCCGTCAGAATCGTTCCAGCGTTTCGGAGATTAGCCGAAACAAACAGACATACAGACAAACATTTTAAAAATTATTGTTTTTTTTTTGTTATAAGTACCGTATATACTTTCATATTGTATTATATAGAGGTCAGTGTTTCACATGCATTTAATAAAAAGCTGTTATTTTGACATTACAAACAGACACTTCAATTTTATTTATTTATGTAGATATTGTTTTACTTTCTCCGACTGCCGAGGAAAATATGACTTCGGCATACAAAAGAAATTTAATGTTTAACTCACCTATTATTCTCCACATTATTTCTATGCCAATTCTCTAATGTGATGCGGGCTTGGCCAGAGGCCTCTCGCTGTGCGTCACTCAGTTGTTATGCTTCCTTATTTTACCGATTTGCTACAAATTATCTATTTTATTGACACTTACATCAAAGGCCGATGTGATGCTAGTGCACTAGTTTAAGTCGGATCCTATTCCACTGTTGCCTTAGGTTCATCATTATCAACTTTCTTCTCCGATCGGTCACGAGTTTCATTTGTGAGATCAAAAATTCCTAACCGATTAAACACAGCCCGTTAGTTAGCATTGCTAGGTTCGTATACGTCATTCATATTGCGTGTAGTTTGAGGAACTCATATCCAAAAATAACACTAATTTTCTAATGAGTCCATGGTTGTAAATATAGCGATATTGCAGAAAAAACAAAAGCTCTAAGAAGCTTGAATAACTGATTTTGGAAGTAAGTATAAAAAAAATTAGAAGTAATGACTAGAAATGACTTGGGGGGTGACTCGAACTTTATGCCTAGTCAGTTTGAATAGGCTATCATTTAGACGATGTCATGGGGGTCATGATTGAATAGGGGGAAAAAGTTTACATTACAGTCCTAGAGGGTCAAAATGGCCAAAAACAAAAAATAATAATTCTTATTTCGGCTATAACCCACACAGTTCTTCCACAGTCTTTACTTCCCGCATCCAACTTGTTTAGAAAAAGGAATAACATGCCTTACTTAAATATAGAATTTATTTGAATTTAGAATTTCAAGTCAAGCCGATAGATAAGAAGATTACAATTTAAAAACCCTAATTAATAAAATGGCAATCTCATGGATAGACCGAAATACTATTAATTTACGGCTAGCCATCAAATTACAGATTAATTTGACGACTTCAGACACAATCAATGGTAATTTTTTTAATTTCTTAAAACTGAAATATTTACTTAAATAGCACATCACTTTTACATTGCATGAAGTTTTATTAATAAGATGACAACTGAATCTTGAAAGGCTGGTAGGTAGGTATATGTTGAATAATATGGTAGATGTACCAACCTATAAAGAATTCATTGCAGATCAGATCCATAGTTTTTATAAATTAATTCAATACAATAAGGATATCACATTTTTCTAAGTTTTATCCGAACCCTGTTAAGCCAGAAGTAAAATACCTGAACTATAGTAACCGGGAGCAACGTCAACGTTGGCAATTGTGACAAACCATCCCTACAAAGTAAGCCATATTCCACAGTGAACTTTTACAGGCTTATGGTGATAAAGATGAGTATAATATTTGTATAAAACATAAACTTCTCTGTACATATATTACCTACTTACTAGACCGCCAATTCAGAACAAAAACTGTGTCACACCTGTGCTTTGATAATAACTACACTACACCTGTGGACTGAGCGGGTGCGGGCGTTGGGTTGTCATTTACGAAAGTTATTGTTTCTTGGCGAGTACGAAATAAAGATACTTTTCTGAAATAAACTTCAAATCGCTTTGACAAAGTGCGCAGGTACATAAATAATGACAGCGTTTTCGTAGTCACATTACACAAAATCAGTGGTAAGATTGTCGAAAACAATGTTCCGGTTTACAACGACGACTAAAGGAGTTACGAAGAATTGACCATAACTTAGTGCGCAATATACATATTAAGGCCGCAGAGCCCGTCTACCATCTATGAGTATCTACCTAATACCTATGCATAGAAGTGTTTGGTTCATATTATTACACTTTGAATATTATTTTAGGCCCTATTGATGAGTTTGTTGACGCAATGCACAGACTGGCCAGTTACATGAAACAACAAAATAGTAGAGAAACCCAAGTAAGAGGCATGCGTGAACTTGAAGCGATAAATGGTGAAAAAGGTAAGAAAACGTTTAAAAATAACATCATTTTTTCATCTATTCTGATAAGCAATAACATTTTTGAGCATTTGATTATATAAATTAGCTTAAGTATTAGAAAATACGGTTCTATTTCAGGCAATAGTATAAAAACGGTTTTAGAAGTGAGTACGGTAATTATGAGGAAAAAGAGGAAATTCTTCTGTACCGGCGAAGTTAAGGAACCTATCGTCAATAACAAAATTATATGTAAGGTATGTATAGTACCCGACCATTTGATGAAACGCAACTATTTATTTGACGGCTCCATGGCGCAGTGGCTTAGCAATGAGTTGCAGCGCTAAGGGCTGCGGGTTCGGATCCCGCAGGGATCAAGTATTTGTATGGTCTACAAATAATTGTCCCGGGTCTGGATGTCTGTCCTAATAAAATTTATGTATGTAAACTGGCTCCACGATAAAAATAAAAACAAATAAACATAAATAAAATAAAAATTTCATATTAGGGCCAATTATTACTGGACGTTTAAACGATAGATTAAACGTCCACTTTTCTCGATTTGTCTAATCAAGTTTGGCCTATCTTTATCAACCTAGTAAGTAATATTGTTTGATATTTTATACAAAGCAAATTTAGAAAAAGAACAACTATGAACTTCCTCAATAAGTTTAATAATTAAACAGACCTTGAAAAATAAATATCCACAACATTGGTCTCTTTTAACTTAATAAAAATATTTTACAAAATATAAATGAGGGACTGTCAAACAACTGCTATAGTAGCCAAATGGCAAAAAACGGAAACCTTATGGTTTCAGTCACAGCCACTTTTTTCCGAAACTAGCTGTTGAAACTTGGTAAGTAGATGTATTCTGTGAACCGCATTAAGACTTTCACACAAAAATAGAAAAAAAAATTTTTGGACTTTCCCCATACTTAGAACTGAAACACAAATTTTTTTTCATCAAACCCATACCTGTGTGGTATCTATGGATAGGTCTTCAAAAATGATATGGAAGTTTCTTATATCATTTTTTTCTAAACTGAATAGTTTGCGCGAGAGACACTTCCAAAGGGATAAAATGTGTGTCTCCCCGCCTGTAACTTCTAAAATAAGAGAATGATAAAACTAAAAAAATATATGATGTACATTATCATGTAAACTTCCACCGAAAATTGGATTGAAGGAGATCTAGTAAGTAGTTTTTTTAATACGTCATAAATCGTAAATAATGTTACTTGCTGCTACGGAACCCTTCTTGGGCGAGTCCGACTCACACTCGGCCGCTTTTTTGACATGAACGAGTTAACGAAAATATAATCGTAGGTATAGATTAGAAGTGAAATTGTGAAACAACGCAGGATAAGTTTTTATAAACTTAATAAAGAAGTGCTGTCCGAATAATGATTCACAGACTCGGACATAAAAAACCTAGGCTACTTTTAGGTTACTTAGAAACTTAAAAAAGTAGGTGAAAAATGAATTTTAAAATTATATTCATATCATATGTAGAATATTCACACAGGTGAAAGAAAAACGTGACAAAGGCTTGGGAACATTTTCTCATGATGTTATATACTTTTACGAATACAAATGTCGCCTTAACCCTGAAGTATAAACATCTAAATGTCCAAAATCGGATGAATCGTTTGATAGACTGCAAGCGACATCCCCTATGGGTCTAACAAATTTCAGAACGGTCGACTAACTTTGAGAGACGAAGAAGGAAGCGGTCGCCATTTGACGGCTGTTATGAAGAAAATGTACTAGCAGTGAAACATTTCATCATCATCATTAATACAGCCCTTCACAGGTCCACTGCAAAAAATAGGCCTCTCAAAAGGAATGCCACAAAGCACGGTCCTCAACCACCTGCATCCATCGACTTCCTGCATGTCTTACCAGGTCGTCATTCCATCTAGTAAGGGGTCGCCCTACACTTCGCCTACCGATACAAGGCTGCCACTCGAGAACCTTTTTTCCCCATCGGTTGTCGGTTCTTCGAGCTATACGCCCGGTTTGGCTCTTACACAATGAACCAATGCTTGTAAAAACGAAACAATCGAGAATTGCAGAGAAGTTTACGCATATTTTTATCTTGTTGGGGTATCTGGTGTCCATTCCTTTACGAAATCGAAGTAGTAAAACACGAGGCTTTATGTGTTTAGTGTTTCACCCATGACAAGGCGCCCCAAACGTGAACGCCAAATAAAAATAAAGAAACCGGTGGAGAGGGGAACCGATTTGGGGGATATAGTTTTTATTGCTAGCAACGTTGACTGACTGGAATAAGTGTTTAGCAAATTAGTTCAGACGCGTGACACTTTGTATAGATGCTGGTGTAGAGCGCTTTGAAAAGATTTTATAATAATAATTTTATTAATAGAATCAGGAGAAACGAGGATAGATTTAGATGTCTATGGGCCACAGCAACCAGTTACCATCCGGTGGACTGTTTATTCGTTTGTCACCCTATCCTATATAAAAAAAAATTTATATAGGATATTTGACAACGTCAAATTTTAAAATAGTGTTGTCATCAATAGTATAAAATGCACCCCCTAGTTTTTAGGGAAAGATTATTCGTGTTTTAGTGGGTTTTTTTCGTGTAACTTAATAATAAGCTTAATTGAAATACAATATGGAATATACCAACTATGATTAGCGATAAAAAAATTAAGATTATCGTTCTAGCATACGTCTAAAATATTACTTAATTCAATAAAAACGTTGGTAATGTTTTTATTATGTGTAAACATTTATCAATGTTAGAAGGAGATAAAATACCAAACTTGGTGCCTCTCTTTCTAAGAAAATGAGGAACGTTTTCAATGTTTCAAGCGCTCACTCCCTTTATTATATTATAACCTCTGTGCCGGACGGGCGTAACTCTCCGGAGTAAATGTTGTCGAAGATACTCCGCGAGCCGCTCACGTCCTACACCTATAGGTTCCGGTGGATACTTTCACTACCGCCTTTGTGTATGCTGTTGGAGAACTGTGGACTGAGGTTCAGAATTAAAAATGCACGATTTATAAATTAAAATAGCAAGGGAGTGGCCAGCGGTTCGACTGATTAATTAGTCACGAAATATTATAACTTATTTATTTATTTAACACTGTTTTTCAACTATGATTGTTTACTATATATTTTAAAACACAGATTTAATTAAACACACAGTAATATTAAAATTTCTATTGGTTTTTTAAAATTTCTATTCGTATTTTCAAAATATCTGTTGGTAATATCAAATTTCTATTGGCAGTAACAAGTTTCTATTGGTATTCTCTACTATTTCTATTGGTAATTTTAAATATCTATTGAAAGTAACAAATTTCTATTGGTAGTATCCAAAATTTCTATTGGTAGTAGCTGGTTTTCTAACACTACTGACTAGCAGCTATTAATCAACTAAAATTAGTTGAATTTAACACTTTTGTAACTGCGAATATCAGTTACCACTTTTTCCGTCTAGCTAACACTTTTCACTATATGTAACGGCGAAATTTCCGTTACCACTTTTTTCAGCTAGCCAACACTTTTTCACTATATGTAACTGCGAATATCAGTTACTACTATTTTTGGCTAGCTGACACTATTTTACTAATACAATTCTTTCAGAACATAAAAATATTCTCATTATTTTCATATAAACTATTGCGCAGTTAATTAACTTCTAGAAAGTTCCACGATATGCTGCGCTGTGATTGGTCGAAATTTTATTTAATGTTTAAAGTCGTTTATATCAACTTATTATTAAAACGATACTTTATACAAATATATTACGAGTTGTAAACATACTGTAAAACTATATTAAAACACAATTTGTTCGATTTTGTCGCTAATTTCACTTTTTAAAACACTTTAATATTCTTTAATCACTTTTTGCTTAAAGTCTTTAAACCGTCGCGAACATCTCTCCCGCCGTGCAGCGTCGCGAAGATCTCATCGTAGTGGCGCTGCATCCATTTCGGTGAGCGACGTTGCACGACGTTCTACTTCGGTAGCGGTACGAGTTTTCTGGTTGGCCCTTTTGATTAGGCCGTTCGCGGTTCGTACCTCCACAGTGCGGATCTGTCCGTTCGCACCGGGGAAACAGCTTCCATCCTGGAGATGGGGCCTCGTCCACGGGCCTCCCGCCGGTTTTGAAGTTCCGGTCTATGTGATTCTGTAAAGGTGAGGCATTTTTCCTCACCGGTGGGTTCGGATAACGTGGGTCTTACGGTTGGCCATGCTGACGGTTCTTTGTACAGAAATGATGGGCCGCAGTACCACTCATGATTTGAGTCGAAGTTCGGTGGTACGTCCCTTGTGGCGGTGTCAGCTATGTTTAGTTTAGTAGGTACCCAGCGCCAGTCATCTACTTTACAATTGTCCTCGATTGCTGCTATTCGGTGCGCAACAAAAGGTTTATAAGTTCTGGACCCTTTTTGTATCCATGTGAGGACAGTCTTGCTGTCAGTCCAATACGTGACAGCTTCGGGCTTTACGCGATGCTCCTGGATGACGGCAGCAGCTACGCGACTTCCCATCACGGTGGCTTGTAACTCAAGGCGAGGTATGGATGTTACTTTGAGTGGGGCTACCTTCGCCTTGGCCATGACGAGGCTCACGTGTACCTTCCCATCAGGTGTCATTGCCCTCCAGTATACTGCCGTTGCGTAGGCGCTCTCACTGGCATCGGTAAACACGTGGACTTGTAGTGAACATGCGTCGCTGAATCCTGGGTAGCATCTTGGTATGCTCACCAATTTAAGTCGTTCTAGGTGTTGGAGCCACGCGGACCATTGTTCAGTTAGGTCTTTGTCCAACTCCTGGTCCCAGTCTGTTCCTCGTCTCCATGCTTCCTGCAATATTTGCTTTGCTCGAATTGTAACTGGGGAGGCGAGGCCGAGCGGGTCATACAGCGACATCACTATTTTCAGTGCTTCCCTCTTGGTTGGTTTTTTATGGAGCACATCGATCGGAAGTCGAGCGAGCTTTAGATTGAAGCTCAGCTGATCGGTACTCGGTTTCCAGATTAGTCCGAGTATTTTTTCTTCGTTTTCCTTGCTGCTCAAGTCAACTGACTCAGTTGCCTCGCGGTCAGGTTCCAATTCTCTCACAATTTCGGGCGCGTTGGAAACCCATTTTCTTAAGGTGAAGTGCGCTTTTTTGTGTATATCGCGTACTTCCTTTGATATTCTCATCGCATCTTCTACTGACTGGAAACTGTCAAGATAAACATCCATGTAATGATTTTGGATGATCGCCT